CCTCCGTGGGGGCGATGGGGGCTTTCCTTGTCGGGGGGCTCGGCCACTGGTCCTCGATGGGGGGGCTGCTGGCACCCCCTGCAATGCACTCGTGGAGCTTTAGGGCATCTTCGAAGGGCCCTGTGGGATGCAGGCGTTGTGGGGTGTCACACCCAGGGCACGCAGACCCCAGCCCCCAAAGCACTGCTGTGGGCTCAGCACCTCTGGGGCTGTTTTGGGTGAGCCAGAAGCTGCTGGCACAGCTTGGCTCCTCCACAGCACCGTTCCCTCAGGGAGCAATGGCTTACTCATGTCAAACAGATCCTTCTTGGGGCTCTCCTCTGCTGGCCCGTGAGCCACCAGCTCGGGCTCCCAGGTGTCCAGGCTCTGTGTGTTCACGTACATGTGCTCCTCGTATTCCCGTGGCCCCAGGGTGTGGCTGTCAGCCTGCAGGTACCCATCACAGGGCTGGCCTGCGAGGACAATCATCACCCCATCACTGCTGGCCAGGGTGCCCAGAGCCACAGGGACCCCCCAGCTCAGGGCTCAGTACCCACCCTGGCTCTCCACGTCCCAGGGTGGCCCCAGGTGGCTGCTCGGGTCTCGTCTGGCTGCTGACCCACCCTAGGGAAGGAGGCAATGAGAGCATTGGGGGCTCTGCACCCCCAGGGCAAGGCCAGCAGAGGCTCTGAGGGGCTCACCTGGCTGCAGGGGATGGAGCTGGAGGGCTGAGCGCGGATGTGGCGGAGCCGGGAGTCCACCAGGCCCCCTGGAGGCGGCTCCTTCCCCGGGATGCTGTTGTAGTAATCGTGCTCTGCTGCCCCCTCCTCATCCTCGCCCCAGGCTGACTCCTCTGCAGCCAGCGCCCTGCAGCAGGGATGGGTGAGCTGGGGACAGGGTGACCCTGCAGGGACAGCGCGTCCCAGAGCCACCCCCAGGCAGGGGGGACATGCCCGGGACAGGGGGGTGCAGCAGGGCCCCCCGCCCCCCTACCTCTCTGGGGGTACCACCACCTTGGGGGGGCTGTGCAGGTACTGCTTGAAGCGCAGCTCGAAGGCCTGGCCCACCGTGCTGATCACGCTCTGCGCCAGCCCCTCGCAGCACTCCAGGATGTGGCAGGCTGGGGACAGACAGACGGACACACAGACAGACAGACAGACGGATGGTTTAGGTATTTCCCCCGCGCTGCCATCGCTCCACCCTGAGCCCACGGGGGATCTCTGTCACAGACATGTTGTATGACAATTCCTTTCCTTAGGATTTTTCCTCCTGAGAAGCTGAGAAGCCTCAGGAACAAAATGTAAACAATGGTTATCTGCTGCTGTGGAATGCAGCAGGTGGATCTGTGATTGGTCTCATGTTGGTTGTTTCTAATTAATGGCCAATCACAGAGAGTCTGAGCCACAAGTCTTTGTTATGATTCCTCTTCTTTCCTTTTCTGTTCTTAGCTAGCCTTCTGATGAAATCCTTTCTTCTATTCTTTTAGTATAGTTTTAATAGAATATATATCATAAAATAATAAATCAAGCCTTCTGAAATATGGAGTCAGATCCTCATCTCTTCCCTCATCCTGGGACCCCTGTGAACACCACTACAATTGGAGACCCCAAGTGAGGAACATTCCTTTTNAAGTTGGGTCTCTCCCTCCATCTTCAATAGGTAATCACCCCTTACTCAAAGTAATCTCCCCTTAGTCAAGAACAAGAGTGGCCAAATGGACACCTGTAGGAGCTTTGGCATCTTTAATCCCTTCCTCCTCTGTCAAACAGCATGGGAATCAAACAACAGACAGAGGAGACAGTGCAAGGAGAAGGGAAATTCTCACAGAAACTTTGTTTCCTCTGGAAAGCAGAGCAGGAGGCAGAGGGAGGAGGGGCTGGAGGTACCTGCAGCGCTCTGAAGGGAGGGCTCTCCAGGACACAGGCCACGGGCTGGGTATGGAACCACCCTGGGGCTCTGCCGGCCAACAGAGGCCTTCAGGAAAAGAGAAAAACATGGTTGAGACAGCTCTCCTTAAAACACACCACCTTTCCACACACTTCACCCTACCAGCAAATTCAATTTAAGCTCAAAACAAAAGTTACCAGAAGCCCCAGAGGGCAGTGTCAGAAACTGCTGCTCAAAAGAGCTCAGCAGGTACTGAACAGCTTTTTGTGGCCTCCTTACCTTCTCTCAATCCATGTGTTTCCATTCCATCTATTTTACCTCCAGCACTCTGCTCACTTCTTATCCCCCCACCAGTTTGAGATCTCAGACCTTTGTGGTTTACATCTTAAATAAAGGATCTAGACTCTCAGCTGTTAT